AGAGTTTGTTTTAGGACCTCTAGTGCTCGCTGTGCTTTCTTTACAAGGTTATTAGACTGTAAAATTGCCACTATCTGAAAGGTGATCCCTAAGTATGTATATGAAGATACTACTTCTATTTGTTCATCACCTAGAAAAAAAATATCATTAATTTTTCTCCCCTTTTTGTTGAAAATAATAACTTTGGTTTTTTTGATGTTGACAGTCAGTTTCCACTTTTTGCAGTAGTCATTAAAGAGATTAAGACTGTCTTGTAGCCCAGAACCTGATTTGACAGTATGACATTGTCATCCGCAAAGAGTAGACAGTTAAATGACAGTTAAAGTTTATATGTCCTGTCTTATTGTTGCGGTGCAGCGCCCTCACGGGCCTACGTGGATTTGAAAGTCGATACCACATCCTGCGACTAGGTACATTGTTTTACAAATTCTAATCCTCGACTGGCAGGATGCATGACGATCAGTGCGTAATTACTAGTACATGTACATGCATAATGATCCCTGTTTGAATACATATCCCGCGATACCTTGACATTTCAGTGTATGTTACGTAAATTTTGGAATTGGTTTTAACTTTTAAACAAGAGTGTTAATATTTTAATTATATGTTGATATAATGAGAAGTAGCCAATACTGGCAACTGCTGATTCCTAATTTTTATTTTATATAGCGGGAAAGTAGGGCAGGATTCTGGGCTTTCAAACAGCATATCCACTGAGCTAAATACAATAATTGTTTTCACTTATGTTTCGTCTTTTATATGTAGTGTATGTACTTTTCTCTTATAGTAAATTTCATTTCTTTTGATCGTGTGGCTGAACGTGAATAAATAATAAATAAATATTTCACATTATGTGTGTAAACGTGAGACATTTTGTGTGTTTTAGTCAGCCACAGTAGAGACTGTCAGTCAGCGTAATTAAACAAAATATGGCCCAGATTAATAAGCACGGCAATTCAATAGCGCCCGCTAGCGACACACTGTCAAATCTTATTTTTACCAAATTGAGGAAAGCGTGGGGTAACATTCACACACGGAAACGGGAATTGGGGCCAATTATTCTGTCAAAATATGATACTTTTTGTTTAAAACATTGTTAGCGGGAGATTTTCTCTTTAATAATTCGAACATTCAATATTTCAGATTTCTAGAAAGCAATCATGTAATACAGCCAAGTTTTTCCAGCTTGTGTCCGCTTATTCAATACAGCCGTACATTCCAAGGAATGACCATAAACGTTAAAATTGAAATAAATAAACATTATTTGTAGACATTTTTCGATAGCACACTTTTAATTTGCCACGTTTTAAAATGATAATCAATTAAAGTTGCGGGGGCACCAGAGTCACAATCATCCAATCAAATTGAATGTATTCAATGCATGACGTCACAGACTTAAATTAGCATGGCATATAAACAAACTGTGTGCTGCGTACGACGTCATGTTTATATCGGTAGGTTTATTAACATCAGGGAACATGGTTGCTCTGTGGTGGGGTAGCTAGAGCCTAGAGGGGCATAAAAAGGCAAACGCCTTACATTTTTTTATTTCGGTAGCACGACAAGCGAGCAGCGCCAGTGCACGTCCGAAGGATTTTTTAAAATGGCGAACGACGAAATGGAGGATGTTGATTCCGTGGCCAGCACAAGTGAGACTTTCGAGGAAGAGGACAAGTCGCAGTTCGATGATTTTCTGCAAAAAATTGACGTTGAATTCTTCTTGAATGAACAAGATGGCGGTTCTTGTGACCCCAGTGCCGATAGACGTGAAGGCGACAGTGTATATGACGGCTCTGGCAGCTCGCATAATTCAATTCCAACTGGGTCATCAAGCCCAGGTGTGCCTGACGATGGAACCATACGGAAAAATTCGAACTTGAACACATGGTCGAAACTAGCACGAAGAAATCAGACCCGGGACTCGGATGATTCTGTTAGCGATATTTCCGACTATGAGACATTTTCTGACATCGATGATTTCTTTGTGCGACATGTGTTCGACCCCGTTCTCGATAACTATCATTATGACGGCTTTGAGATTTGGGGCAAATTGTTATCGGCGCCCCTCTTGATTCTGACCTACCGAAATTGCCTCTCTTCGAACAGGGAAAGCTCGTGGAGGCGGAGTGCCAAATTTGCTTAATTGTCGGTGATCTTCATTTACGCACTTGCTGTTCCGTTCCTGTGTGCGACAGCTGTTTACAGGAATATTTCAATGTACAGGTAAACCAAAAAATTGTTAAACTACCCTGCCTGAACCCGTTTTGCAATGCATATGTTAGTCGGGATGAGATCGTTTTCCGTCTCGACAACAGCGGTAGAGAGAAATTCCATCGGTTTCTTATGGAGGCAAATAAGGAACCACACATGAAAACGTGTCCTCGATGTAGCCACCTGTTTGCACATGATAAAGATGTGTTCGCCAAGGCTAAACTGAATCCTAATGAAGCCAAGGTGACCTGTACGGAGTGTTATCTTGTGTGGTGCTTTCCCTGCCATGCTCCATGGCATGAAGGAATTAGCTGCAGGGATTATAGAAAGGGGGATAAATTGCTGAAAATGTGGTCCAAAGAAAGAAGTTATGGTCAAAACAATGCACAGCGTTGTCCGAAATGTAGGGTAAGTATCAAATGTATTTTTCTGTAGCCCGAAGGTAAATTATTCAAATCCAATTTACATAATTTCACTACTACTACAAGTAACCAAGAGCACCTGCTACAACATTAAAATTTAGTTTATTTTCATAATACTATAAGATATAAATTAAATATTTTGAACATGCTTTATAATTTTATATACAAATCCTACACATTTTCAATTCAAAGTTATACATTTATATTAAACTTTGAATATTATTCCAAATAAATTACACATACACATAAAATGCAGTGAGCGTTCTACCTCAAGTTTATTACACAATTCCGCCCTACAAGAGCCATAATTGTGAAAATAAAGTAATAAATTGTAGTGTTATTGTATTATATATTATTGTATTGTGTTATTATTATATACTAGTATATGATTACTATTTGCTTAGACTGTACACAAATATATATATATATATATATATATATATATATGTATATATATATATATATATATGTATATATATATATATATATATATATATATATATATATATATACGCAGGGGTTGAAATACTCTGGTGCACACTGCATTATGCACATAGATTATTAGCTAGTGCAAGTAAACTCAAAATATAATGTAGAAATTAACACATTTTTTCATTATATTCACTAAGCCTAAATTAAGTTCAACCAACATTGTAAGACAACTCAAAAAAAGCAAATTCGTTCGTGATCGCATTAATCGAGAACCTATAAATTTTATTAAAAGTGGTGCATTTCACAACAAGTTAGTGCAGGTAAATTTCAAATTCAACATGCACACTGTGCATGCAGGGAAACAATTCTATTTCAATCCCTGATATGTAGCAACACCATCTGGTGATTGCTACTGTCTTTTATTGACCTATGCCAACTGGTGATTGCTACCTGGTTCTATTGTCCAATGACATTTGTTGATTGCTACTTGGTTCTATTGACCAATGACATTCGGTGATTGCTACTTGGTTTTATTGACCACTGACATCTGGTGATTACTAGAGGGTTCTATTGACCAATGACATCCAGTAATTGCTACAGGGTTCTATTGACCAATGACATCTAGTGATTGCTACTTGGTTCTATTGACCAATGACATCCAGTTGTTGCTACAGGGTTCTATTGACCAATGACATCTAGTGATTGCTACCTGGTTCTATTGACCAATGACATCTGGTGATTGCTACCTGGTTCTATTGACCAATGACATCCGGTAATTGCTACCTGGTTCTATTGACCAATGACATTTGTTGATTGCTACTTGGTTCTATTGACCAATGACATCCGGTGATTGCTACTTGGTTTTATTGACCACTGACATCTGGTGATTACTAGAGGGTTCTATTGACCAATGACATCCAGTAATTGCTACAGGGTTCTATTGACCAATGACATCTAGTGATTGCTACCTGGTTCTATTGACCAATGACATCTGGTGATTGCTACAGAGTTCTATTGACCAATGACATCCGGTAATTGCTACCTGGTTCTATTGACCAATGACATCCAGTTGTTGCTACAGGGTTCTATTGACCAATGACATCTAGTGATTGCTACCTGGTTCTATTGACCAATGACATCCAGTTGTTGCTACAGGGTTCTATTGACCAATGACATCCGGTAATTGCTACCTGGTTCTATTGACCAATGACATCCGGTAATTGCTACAGAGTTCTATTGACCAATGACATCTGGTAATTGCTACCTGGTTCTATTGACCAATGACATCTGGTGATTGCTACAGAGTTCTATTGACCAATGACATCTGGTGATTGCTACAGAGTTCTATTGACCAATGACATCTAGTGATTGCTACTTGGTTCTATTGACCAATGACATCCAGTTGTTGCTACAGGGTTCTATTGACCAATGACATCTAGTGATTGCTACTTGGTTCTATTGACCAATGACATCCATTTGTTGCTACAGGGTTCTATTGACCAATGACATCCGGTAATTGCTACCTGGTTCTATTGACCAATGACATCTGGTGATTGCTACAGAGTTCTATTGACCAATGACATCTGGTGATTGCTACAGAGTTCTATTGACCAATGACATCTAGTGATTGCTACTTGGTTCTATTGACCAATGACATCCAGTTGTTGCTACAGGGTTCTATTGACCAATGACATCTAGTGATTGCTACTTGGTTCTATTGACCAATGACATCCAGTTGTTGCTACAGGGTTCTATTGACCAATGACATCCGGTAATTGCTACCTGGTTCTATTGACCAATGACATCCGTTAATTGCTACCTGGTTCTATTGACCAATGACCAATGACATCCGGTAATTGCTACCTGGTTCTATTGACCAATGACATCTGCTGACTGCAGTGCTCACCCAAGTAAAGTTGTTGAATAGGGCCAGAAAAAAACCAGCTTGTAGACTATTATGCTGATTTGCACTTGTAGAGTTAGTGTAGGTGTCACTCAGAAGATCGCAGCAATGTGAAAGATGTAGGGCTTCAATACTAAAATAGTACAATGTGTAATTGAACATGTAAACAAAGTTAGGATTCTATAATTAAAAATTGTAATAGAAAAATAAAATAGTCAACCAATACATAAATCGCTGGAACTGCATCTTGCATTATCAGCTAAATTTACACTGGTCAATATAAAAAAAAATGGCGACACCGCACAAATTATTGGTAGTTTTAAAATGTGTGACCTTACACTTTAGGGTTATGTAAGTACCAGGATGTGTGACCTTACACTTTAGGGTTATGTAGATACCAGGAGTGTGACCTTACACTTTAGGGTTATGTAGGTACCAGGATGTGTGACCTTACACTTTAGGGTTATGTAGGTACCAGAATGTGTGACCTTACACTTTAGGGTTATGTAGATACCAGGAGTGTGACCTTACACTTTAGGGTTATGTAGGTACCAGGATGTGTGACCTTACACTTTAGGGTTATGTAGGTACCAGAATGTGTGACCTTACACTTTAGGGTTATGTAGGTACCAGGATGTGTGACCTTGCACTTTAGGCTCATGTAGGTACCAGGGTTCTCCTCAGAAAAAATGCATAGCGCCGGGGCTAATTTGCATAATAATTTGCTTATCATTTACATATCTTTCCTTCATTGATTAACAGAACTTATTTACAATTATGAATATTAGTGAGCTCAATCACAGGGCAAATATTTGTTTTAATGGAATCAACACATTATGTTTCACAATTTAGAAGAGTTTGAAACATTCTCGAAATACAAATGCTGCAGACTAAAAACAAACACAAATAAATTATTGTTGCAATTTAATTGTATTGTAAAACGTTGAAGGAAACGCATTCAAAACGTTAAGCCAGATTTATGTTCACGAATCTCATAATTTTATTCACTCCAAAAACACTCGATCACGTAATTAATTGGCGTATTGTTGAAATTTATTATTCGTACCATCAACTTCTAAAACGTTTACAATTACAGTAATGAGCGAACAAATAAAGCTTCAAAACGATCATCAAAGTTACAACGTGACATAACTTACTTGGCCATGTTATACACCAGTTATAGCAATAATTCCTCAAAAAATGTTACTTCTTTTTTTTTTGATATGAAATGTAAGTAAAATCCGACTTATTTTTATCGGGAGCGATTATTTTTGATCACTTGATCGCTTTGGTAAAAAAAAACAGACCCGCCATGATGCTTGTGAAACATTAGCATGTGTCCTTTGACCCGACAAAAATTATATTGCGAAAGTAAAGCGATGTCGTAGCACGATGTGTTGGCATCGATTTCAATTGAAAACTGCATGATGGCTTTCGAAAGAGGTGATTTGCAATTTTTAAAAGGTAAAATAGGTCTTGAAAGAAGAGTTTTTACATGATTCGCAATGATAACAGTTCAAATGTATTTTACCAATAAACACGTTGTTTTTTTCTTGAGTAGCGTGAACTGATCGTGAACTCCGCTTTGACCATGTTATATCGAGGTGGAATTGATTTTGAAAGAATTTTAGCTTTCAATCTAAAGACTATGTCTATCGCAGAAAGTATTTACTTACAAAGAAAGAGGTGCTAATTTCACAAATTTGACTAGCCGCTACGTATCGTGCGACTAGGTCTATTGTTTATAAATTATAATCCACGACTGGCAGGATGCGTGTCGGTCGGTACGTAATTATAATAACAATCAGACAATAGTTCTCGTCGGAAGCGCTTCTGCGGTGGTCACTAATTTTGAGTGACGGTCGGGGCCGACCGGCGTGGCGAACAAAGCTTTTGCACATCTGATATTGGCATGTCAAATATGAAATCAAGCGCCGAGGTGGGAACACATAGCGCCGAGGTCCCAAGTAAAGCGCCGAGATTCACAAGTATAACGCCGCGGACCTCGGCGCTAAAAAGCCCTGGGGAGAACCCTGGGTACCAAGAGGTGTGACCTTACATGACCCTAAAGTGTAAGTACCAGGATGTGTGACCTTGCACTTTATAGGGTTATGTAGATACCAGTATGTGTGACCTTACACTTTAGGGTTATGTAGGTACCAGGATGTGTGACCTTACATGACCCTAAAGTGTAGGTACCAGGATGTGTGACCTTGCACTTTAGGCTCATGTAAGTACCAGGATGTGTGACCTTGCACTTTAGGCTCATGTAGGTACCAGGATGTGTGACCTTACACCTTAGGGTCATGTCGGTACCAGGATGTGTGACTTGCACTTTAGGCTCATGTAAGTACCAGATACATATAGGGTCATGTATTTACTATTTAGTTTATACTATCTAGTTAGTGTGATGTAACAATCAGATTTATGAGCAAATATCGACAGTGATGTTTGTAAAACTTTTACCTTGAAGTAACATGCCTGTCCACCCGGTAGAAATAATGGTTCATCCCCAAGATATAAGCACCTTAGCAGAACTAATGCCGTAATGGCTCATCTCTAAAATATGATAGGTATCCCACCAGAAATAATGGTTCATCCCTAAGATATAAGCACCTTAGCAGAACTAATGGCTCATCTCTAAAATATGA